GTAAAATCCTTCACGGTGCACTTCCCTTTGAATGGTTCTTTTAGAGACAAGTTGGTTTCTCACAGAATTAAATGCACCACTTATATCACTCAAAGGTCTCTGTCTGTTTTGCTTCACGATGCTGAACAGTGAGGCCCAATCTCTGTCCGTCAACAATTTTTGGCTAGATAATCTCGGTATGTTTTCCTCTGAATCCGTTCGCTGAACTTTGCTTAAAATGAGAGAGAATGAATGAGAGAGGGTGAATGTTATTTGATACAGAATCAAGTGGCGGTGGGGTAGCCCAGTTGTTTAAGCGTTCGCTCGTCACGCCGAAGACCCGGGTTTGATTCCCCACATTGGTACAATGTGTGAAGCCCATTTCTGGTGTCCCCCGCCGTGATATTACTGGAATATTGCTAAAAGTGGCGTAAACCTATACTCACTCACTAATACATAATCTATGGTGACTTGTGTTTAATAGATATGGAACATTTTATCATCATGGTCCTCAGAGTTTCACATATAAGTTCTGAAGTTCATACAGTTTACTTTTGTGAAGAACTAACAGACTGATAAAACTTGTTTATTACAGGTTAATAATTTTGTCTATAGTTTAGATAGATCTCCATTCTGAAGCCTGTCTACAAATCCATATCATACATGCACATATAAAAAGAAAATCGATATTCAAATCATTTTATTCACAGACAATATCAATATCAATTGTATCAAAACAAAATATACGAACGTACCACAAATAAAATGCATGCAAACAAAGGTAAAATATATTTTGGAACACGATTAGCTTAATTCGGTTTTTTTTTCAAACTCATACAACGCCAGTTCCGTGTAATCCTTAAAAGGATTTTACGAAATGATCGAATCGATTTCCTTAGACGAGAAACAGTCTCTGCTTTACCTGCAGAAGTATATTTGTGTCATGATCTGTTCCAACAGCTGGATGATACTCGTATTCTACTCAGATGAGATCTCCTTATGTCCATTTTCCCACTCACAACTGACGTTTAGAACCCCGTACACTCTCTCTGTCTTGTTCACAGAGTCAGCAATGTCCGTCTAGTTGGTCGCAAACACAATTGGGACTGTCATTTCTGCCGGAGGATCTGCTCCGTGGCTGTTACCGAGGACTGGAAGGATTCGACGGACACCAGAGAGTGCACCAACACGTCTACGTCACATGTGCAGGGTCTCTGTAGGAATGAGAAGCTCTTCTTTGCTGATGTGTCTATAACATCAACTGTCAGATCCCTCCCTTTGTTTCCAAGATGTATTTGCTACCTTTCGAACAGTGCCGGTTAACTCTGTCTGGATGGGACTTAATGACTAGATTCTGTACTTTACTAAATATAACATGTGTTACAAGACAAGTCTTTCGCAGAACAGCTTCTTTATTTGTTCCTCACCAAGAAGTTGTTATCCATAAAATTTGTCTTGTATTACTACACCAACTTCTAAATGCCTTTGGGGCGGTGGGGTAGCCTAGTGGTTAAAGCGTTGGCTCGTCACGCCGAAGACCCGGGTTCGAATCCCCACATGAGTACAATGTGTGAAGCCCATTTCTGGTGTCCCCCGTCGAGATGTTGCTGGAATATTGCTAAAAGCGGCGTGAAACCAAACTAAGACAGTCAGTCTAAATGCCTTTGAAGAATTTCAACATGTGTAACATTTTCAATAGCACTGTGTATTCATTCTGTTGTGATCACTAATGTACACATACGACATAACTGAGAATTTTGTTTTTGGTCTTCCGCATATTACTGAATTAGTTTCTTCATTTTCCAGCCATCATTCCATGCACTTAACAGGACACATCTTGGTCTCTGTTCTACCAATAATCAACTTTTCTATTAAAAAAGTCATATAAGCATAAAAAGACAAGTCACCAAGCTTGATATTCCGTTTGGCTACCTCAAACACATTAACCACTGTCTATGTGTTGTCCGTGGGAGAGGGTAAACCATCAGTACTATGGAAGTGTCTGATGCTGTAAACCGCTAGCTGATTGCACGGGTAAAAGGCTCAAACCATTGTATTACTGAATCCAGATACAGCACACAGTGTAAGGTAGGTAACGGTAAAGCTGCCGACATAACCTTAGACACAGCCCACCTTGTCGACTTGGGACATAAGCATCTTTGTGAGTAGATAGATTAACTAGTTCTTTCACCTGTGAAACAATCTCCCACCACTGCAAACAACGGCCAAAAAACTAGCGGCATACCAAACATGGTACTATAATTGTCGCCCTTCCATGACACAAGCTCAGGTGTCGTAATGACCTCAATACCAAATACACAGGTGGCACTATCAAGTTGTTGGTTTCAGACCAACTAATATTAAATGCATCTACTCCAAATGATTGAGGATTCCATTATTAGAGAATAAAACTTACCAATTTTGTAATTGCAATTCCAAGCAAATACATTTGTGCCATATGGACCCCACATACAGCAAGAGCTGGAACACAAATTCCAAAATTCCAAAATACCCCAATCGCACGTGTCCACCAGCTTACTGGGGTAATCGGATCTGTCATTTTCTGATATTTGATATCCACTGCATCTCCAACCGAATCTGACGGTGACAAAAACGGTGAAAGCAATGCAATGCTTTGAAACCCAGATTTCATAGGCCTCTAGCAACACTTACTGTTGATTCAACAGTTGTATTATCAGTGAACCACTTGACTCAATGTGACTTCAGCAAAGGAAGATAACTCTGCAATACTATGTACACTGCCTTTAATTCTCTGTGAGTAGAAGTCAACGCAGCTTCTTCTCCCGACCACGGCCAATGGGACTGTTCCTCAATAAACTGTACACAATACCGCCCATAACCAACATCACTGGCGCCACTGTATACCACACTGTAGTACAGTGGCAAGGGGTGAAAATAGATACTTGGCGGACTAAATTTAAAGCATGAAACTTTGGAAAGTGCTGGGAATATCATGATAAAACATATTTTTGGGGTGTGTCCGATATTTTGGGCCCATTTTCAGAAAAATCCATGATGCGTCCAATATGGCCGCCAAAAATCAAAGAATTCCACTATATGACTTTCCCACGCTGAATTATTGCAGAAAACCTTGGACAGTGCTATACAGACCGATCACACCATGTCTTCTCTGTATATATGTCTATCTCATGTTGACGTTTGCTATATTGTGTCAGAAGAACAGATTCATTCCAAAATGAAACACTCAAAGTCTACACTGACAACGATAATGTGTCATAATAATAATGTGTCTATTTATAGTCCGTTTGGCTCAAAAGCGGACCGATGAATTGCAATCTAACTCGAAAACTAATAAACATAACATACTCAATGAAACGCTGACCATAATCAAAACATCATACCAACTCTGTGAGGTTTTTGCATAATTTTTGTCCTAAAAATAAAAAAGTTGTTTCACAAACTATCATTAAAATATTGACACAGTTCACTATTTGTTACGAGGGAGGAGTGCAGAGAAAGGGGCAGCCAGGTGTTCGAGAAGAACCTTCACAGACAAAGTTCTTTATTCATTAACCTGTGCTGTGCCGTCTCCATCCGTTCTCCACCCCTACATCTGTGATTCCGAACCCTTGGTGAATTCAGTATTTTCTGTCATCCATTCGGATAATTTTCATCATTGTATTGCTGTATACGGTTTTGTGAGACAGTTAAGACTGTTGATTATTTGGCTTTGACCTTTTAACATTTGAACGCATAGTTCAGAACATGCACGGGCATCAATTCCGATGTTCTGTCGTGGTACGGTGTTACGTTTGTGTATTTCTGTGTTTGGGCAATGCACACACGTGACATTACATTTGTACACATCTGACATCTTTACACTGTATTGTATGTATACGTACCACGACGTCATGAATATTCTAAAACTGCATAGTGTATTTAAGTAACACGATTTCACTATATCATTACTATGACTTTAGGGACGATGGGGTAGCCTAGTGGTTAAAGTGTTCACTCGTCACGCAGAAGGCCCGGGTTCGATTCCCCACATGGGTACAATGTGTGAAGCCCATTCCTGGTGTCCCCGGCCGTGATATTGCTGGAATATTGCTAAAAGGGCCCAAAAACGCACTCACTCACTACTATGACTTTATAAATCACTATCACATAGTGATGATACCAGATGGTTGCGAAAAGGGGTATGAAACACCTCTAACCCCGGTGGCACCAGTCGAAATGGCTAGTCAGTTGTTCACCTGAAAAAATACAGGAACGTTTAGTTGAAGTCCAGGTAGGAGATGTATCGGACATAATCTTTGTCACTGATGTGTGATGTCTGGGAATGTCCACCCGACGCTTGGAAGCTTTACTGAAGCTATGACTGATGTAACCTTGATCGAACAACTTCAGAGCAAGAGTCAAATAAATGACGCTCTACGAAACATTGGCTAAAAGAGCATAGTGCATACATAAGGGACCGTTCACAAGTATGGCTCGGGGGTATGATGATTTTTATGGAGAGGCTTGTACAATGTGAATGACAAAAACACACACACACACACACACACACACACACACACACACACACACACACACACACACCATTGATGTACAAAATAAGTGACAACCCCCAACCCCCGCATGTCATGTACAAAATCAATGAGAGGGGATTATGATTTTAAGGGGGAGTCACCCATTTTGTTCTCGGGAGGTAGGGGGGTCAGCAATTTTGTACATATGTACTAGGGGATGGTCAGCAATTTTGTACATAAAAATATTACAGATTTCTGCTTAAAACTTATAGGAGGGGGAAGGGGGCATTGTTTTGTATATGAAATGCAAAGGGGGTCTCTTACTTTGTATGTTAATTGTTTTGGGGGGGGTGGGGTGGGGGTGGGGATGTCATTCACATTTTACATGCTTCTGCATAAAAATCATCATCAGCCACCCTTTGCCATAAATGGACGGCCCCTAACATACCACTGTGTTGCATGTCTAAGTACCCAGGCACAGTCGTCTATGAATATTGTACACAATCAGAAAATAACTTCGTTTATTCACAACAGGTTACACCTGACACTCACTTATCGTTATTCACATTTATATTTACATAATGAACCTCATAACACGCTGTTCTGACGATGCTGAATGTACGGCTCTTTAGATTTTTTAATGGATTTTTGTGTGCGTAAAACTTTCGGAATCCACTATCATGCAAGTCAACGAGAACATCAAGGAAAGCCACTCCCATGTCTTTGGTTTTAAACTCTCCGTCAAAGTGGAACTCCACCAACAATTGTTTTACACGTGACAAGTCACGTGACCTGATCATGTGACGTAAACTCTCCCATTCCGCTCCTTCCACGTCCATCTTCAGGACGTCGATGGTCCTCTGCACAATGTAGAGAAAAACATTATTCCACAGGATTATCCTGACAGCATTAATAGTAAAGGCAAGATAGTATTATGGATGACAACTTTTTTATTCTAATATGATGCAACCTTTCGGTACAGATCCTTATACCGTTGTCACGGTTACCTTTGTTCATTCGGGCGCAGTGGGGTAGCTTAATGGTTAAAGCGTTCGCTCGTCGCACCGAAGACGACCCGGTTTCGATTCCCCACATAGGAACCATGATATTGCTAAAAGCGGCGTAAAACCATACTCACCGACTCACTAATTGTTGGGGTCACCAGTGTTTGGCGTAAAACGTAACTCACTCACTCACCTTTGTTCATTCCTGCCTGTTGATACTCCATTTCTTACCCCAGTCATTGAGCCAATATATTTCAAGAAAGTTTATATTTTTTCTTGTTATGATTTCACAAACTGTTTCAGGAATGATTGATGGTTAAAGAGGTACAATCGGATAAAAACGTTCTATAATTTTAGTGACTGAGTAAGTTTAGTTTTACGTCGCACTCAGTAATATTCCAACTATATGGCGGCGGTGTGTAAATAATCGGATCTGGACCAGACAATCCTGGGATCAACAGCATGAACATCGATCTACGCAATTGGGAACCGATGACATGTGTCAACCAAGTCAGTGGGCCTGACCACCCGATCCCGTTAGTTGCCTCGACAAGCATGGGTTACTGAAGAAAATAGTTCTTACCCGGATCTTCACGGGTTCTATAATTATAAATTACATGAATACAAAGTGTTCTACATGTTGCCTCTGAGTACTATAGGTAAACAGGAAATACCCAATCGTAAAGTTTGTCTTATTTTTGTATCTATGCAAGACCATCCCAAGTGATACGAAAAGACATATAAATTACACGAAGCTGAGCAAAGTATGCTCTTGATTTGTGCAACCCTTGTTACGTGAATATCCTTTAACACCTGAGGTCCAATTTGTGTTAATTATGAACTACCGGGCACAAGAAAGTTATCACCAACTTCACTTGACCAAAAAATAGAAACAATGAGTGAGTTTAGTTTTACGCCGCACTCAGCAATATTCCAGCTGTATGGCGGCGGTGTGTAAATAATCGGATCTGGACCAGACAATCCAGGGATCAACAGCATGAACATCGATCTACGCAATTGGGAACCGATGACATGTTAGTTAGTAAGTCGCCTCGACAAGCATGGGTTACTGAAGATCAATTCTAACCCGCATCTTCACGGGTAGAAACAAAGACGTATGTGAGAGTTACGATAATTAGTTGACAAATAGAAATATTTTTCCAATAGTTTGACTGAACATTCATTGTAATGCTGGTCTTGCATTTGCTGCAAGTCATAAATAAAGAGTCAAGGGGTCAAAATTGAAAATTAAACAAATCAGAGTTGATTACACAAGTGATGAGACAGGAGTCGGGGGACACATCATCAATAGCGAGTGTGACCACCATGGGCATCCATTCACGCCAACACACGTCTCCTCATTGACGTCGTCAGTCGGTGGATGACGTCAGCAGGAATCCTGTTCCATAAGTCCAAGAGAGTCTGTTCAAGTTCCTGTCGGTTCGCCGGAGGTGGTACACGCTGTCTCAGCTGACGGGCAAGATGATCCCAGAGATGTTCAATGGGGTTCATGTCTGGAGAACGCGCTGGCCAAGGCAATACGTTGACGTTAACGTTGTACAGGTATTCTCGAACTGGAAGGTGACTCCTCTTGGCCGTTGTCGAATAAGGGGCACCATAAAAAGTCTCAACACTTCATCGCTGTATCGCTGGGCGATTTCCTCGGATGATAACCAGTCTTGTTCTCTGGCCACAAATGCCGCCCGATATTATGACGCCTCCTCCATCGAACGGATGAGCTTCCTCTACGCTGACATCGTTTCTGAACCGACTTAACCGACTTTCATCTGTAAAGAGCACTCTCTCACAGTTCGTGCCCTTTGCAGTCTGCGTTGACGATGTAGGCGAGTCAAGGCCATTCCGCGGAAGGGGCGGTAAGCTCGTATACCAGCCACACCAAGTCGTCGAAGGACTGTTCGTCTGTTGCTGGCGTGTCCTAGTGCGTGTCTGGAGGTGGATCTGCCGGATGTAGCGGTCTTCGGCCAGTGTCGTGACTCTTGGTCCTCCCAATCTTGGGCGGTCTTGGGTTTGGCCTGTTTGTTGGTAGCGATTTATCAATTTGCTGGTGATAGCCTGACAGCAGTTGAAGGTTCTTGCCAGCTGACGTTGTGAAGCCGCCATATTGGCCATACCGGTCACCATGTCTCGTTGCGCATGCGTAAGTCTTGGCATATTCGTGGTGGTTTTATAGTGACGCATATTTGCTCTGTCCAACATCGGTATTTATGCCACAATCATAATTACGTTTTCCACGTTTTACAAAATACACGATTCGTACCAAGTTTACCTAGAGCTGCCTTGTCATCGGGACCATCTTGCGTTTTGGCGAATATTTTCTGCTTGAGTTCAAACCTGTACCAGCGTTTTCGTTTTTTTATACAATTACTTCAAACTTTCTTTTGCCCGGTAGTTTATATGCTACAAACACATGATCCAAATATGGCACCTCAGTATATGCAATTGAAGTATCTGAGCAACACATACCCCAGTGTGGTCAAGCATCGCCATGATAGACTGTAGTGTCATCAGATGCCACCCTGAGCGCTTTATATAAGTGTCCTCGCCGCCGATACCAAGCTGAGAAAAATGTACAGACTGGGAACGCCTGTGGATTGATTCCCGCATACTGTAACAAGCAATCATCGCATATATCATCCTCAATAATCTTCAGGGAATACGTTCTGACAGCTCTCCACTAGTACCCTGGATGTATCTACTGCTCGGCCCGATAATTTTATTACATCCCTTTGCTGGCTTTTTATCCAATCAGGTGTCTACGCTGGGAGGTTGAGCGTACCAATCACAAGGCTTCTATCATAACTCACTTTCGCTTCTTTTATCTAACCAATTAAACTTGTCAACACAATTTTTGCAGAGGTACTCTGAAAGAGGTAGGAGTTCTTGCATATATTTAAGATTTCAGACCTGTCAATTTGTCAATTTGCGGCTGCGACTGCTATCATTGTTGACACTGGCAAGCTCGGTTGTAACGGCTTATATGATTGGCTACTGTGAGAATGTGGACCCAGCAAAGGGTGGTAATAAAATTATCGGGCCGAGTCGTAGATGCATCCAGGGTACCAGAGGAGATTTATGGGAACGTATTCCCTGGATATTATCGAGGATGCACACATATATACACACAAGACACACAAAGAAATAAGTTAACTGATCTATAGTGCACCAGCCACATACAAACAAAAATACATACACCAGCATTATTCGTTATAACACTAGGATAACAGTTTGCATAAGCATGGAGTATAGAGGGCTGGAACCAACCTTGGATCAAACGCATACACTTCGCACCCATACAGCTTCGCTATGTCATCGTCAAATGTGAAGTCGTGGTTGATGCTGAAAATATATGTAGTTTCTTAGGCGTTTATACAATTTATGGACATACGAAAACACAAGGTTACAGTCACCCAAAAGCATCACCAACACCAAAAGAGGAGTAATAGGAGACATATTTCACTTAAACAAATAAAACACTCGCTATGGTTTTCACTTACATGAAAGTGAAGCGGGACATGGTTTTCACTTACATGAAAGTGTAACAAGACATGGTTTTCACGCACACAAAAGTAGCACCAAAGATAACATTCTCATACTCATAAGTACCACAATTGAAAGGTTTCACTTACATAAATGTGTCTAACGATGTAGGCTTCGCTTACATAACAGTGTCACAAGAGATGGCTTTCGCTTACATAAAAGTGTCACTAGAGAAGGCTTTCACTTACATAAATGTGTCTAACGATGTAGGCTTCGCTTACGTAACAGTGTCACAAGAGATGGCTTTCGCTTACATAAAAGTGTCAGGAGAGAAGGCTTTCACTTACATAAATGTGTCTAACGATGTAGGCTTTGCTTACATAACAGTGTCACAAGAGATGGCTTTCGCTTACATAAAAGTGTCAGGAGAGAAGGCTTTCACTTACATAAATGTGTCTAACGATGTAGGCTTCGCTTACATAACAGTGTCACAAGAGATGGCTTTCGCTTACATAAAAGTGTCACTAGAGAAGGCTTTCACTTACATAAATGTGTCTAACGATGTAGGCTTCGCTTATATAACAGTGTCACAAGAGATGGCTTTCGCTTACATAAAAGTGTCACTAGAGAAGGCTTTCACTTACATAAATGTGTCTAACGATGTAGGCTTCGCTTATATAACAGTGTCACAAGAGATGGCTTTCGCTTACATAAAAGTGTCACCGGAGAAGGCTTTCACCTACATGAAAGTGTCATCGGAGTGGGCTTTCACTTACATAAAAGTGTCACCAGCAATAGCTTTCACTCAAATAAAAGAGTCACCAGAGATAGCTTTCACTTACGTAAAAGAGACATATGGGACGGGTTTCACTTACTTAAAGGAATCACCAGAGATGAGTTTCTCTTACTGAAAGGCAAAAGCAAAGATGGGTTGCACTTCGGTGAGACACAAGATATGGGTTTCACTTAAACAAAGGAATCAACAGATTTCCTTCTTATAAAGGAGACAAAAGGGAAGTGTATCATTCACATAAAGGCGTCATGAGGGACAGGTTGGTCTTAGACAGAGACGCCAGAGACAGGTAACACTCACATACAGGATTTACAAGAGACAGGTTACATTTACATAAAGGAGACAGCACAGGCAGGTTTCAGTTAATAAAAGGAGACACGTGAGAGAAGTTGTACAAACCCAAAGCTGTACACAAGACACGGATTCCCTGGTCTGTAGGGTTCGTCATCACAGACCTCCCAGCCGCCATCACCGACCCTTCCCATCCGGAACTTCCGGTGACACAGGATGTTGATATTGTCGATGTAACTGAAATATAGTTAGTTATTGAATGGCTTCTGATGTTTGTCATCTTTAAGTTAGCACATCGTGACTGCATAGCGTTTGCATCTGCTGCAGTATATAGCCAATGAATATTTTATCATTATTATTGGAGTGAGTGAGTGAGTTTAGTTTTACGCCGCACTCAGCAATATTCCAGCTGTATGGCGGTTATTATTGGATATGTATATAGCGCTCATATCCACGCAACTAGTACATGCTCAAGGCGCTGGTATTTTTCCCTCGGTCATTGGATGTCAATCTCAACAGCACATCGTATTATCAATGTCAACTCCCCGGGGAGCAGACAACTCTTGCAGCCACTAGACGCACCGAGTTATTGCGGCTGTCTCATCCTTACGATGTATCCATTCACAGCTGGGTGGACTGGGACACATAGTCACAGTACTTTGTCCATGTTTACTGCACGTTGCTGTACCCGCTGTGCTAGCCCACTGATATACCATGCCGCAGTGAAGCATGAACACCCCATTCAGACACATTATACTGACTCCGAGCCGACCAGTCCTTGTTGTACCCATTAATGCCAAGCGCCAGGCAGGGACCAACAAGTACCATATTTTAACGTCTTTTGGTATGACGCGGTCGGGGATCGAACCCGCGACCTTCCGCTCTCCGGGCGGACGCTCTAACCTCTACACCACAGAGGCGGTCCAATGAAAAGGCAGACAGGCAGATCCCCTGTAGGTTTACCTGTGATACGTCATTGTCATCTGCTGAGGCGACATCTGGCGGAGGTCTTCCTTCGTGGGCAGGTCCAACTGTTAGAGTAAAGAGTCGATGTCGAGTAAGCAGTGTGTGAAATAGTTCCCAGTCGGGCTAGCTATGCCTGAAAGTTACTTGATCACAAAATAATTCACTTGACCGAAACTTATAAGTTATAACTTAACAAGTCGGAGAGAGTGATATATTCACAAAATGACCCCATGAAAATTCACTAGCCAGTCGGGCCAGTGACTGTGGAGATTTACTGGCCCGACTGGATTTTTACTAGCCACGGGCCAGTGTCTATTTCGCACACTGCGAGTAAGGGGTACATGGGTGACGATACCAGTTAGGGATACGGGTGGCTGTACGTATAGATGTATGTCTCGCTCTCTAAGTCTGTGTGTGTGAGTGTGTGAGTGATTGAGCGTGTGATGAAGTGAGAACTTGCAACGAAGCTTAACAACATAAAAGTGTGGACCCACCCACTGCGAATACTATGATGGAAAATAGGCAAACGTTATGTAAAATTGTTTTGGGCACTAACCATTTGTGACTAGATGACGTAGTCAGTTTTAGTCAACGACCAAGTAAATGAAACGTGCCAAAAGCCATGTCAAGCAATTACAAGAACAATGGAGTTAAAAACACAGTCCACCAATTAACTGTGACTCATCATTAACTGCCGGGGCGGTGGGGTAGCCTAGTGGTTAAAGCATCCGCTCGTCACGCCGAAGACGTGGGTTCGATTCCCCACGTGGATACATTGTATGAAGTCCATTTCTGGGGCTCCTTTCACGAAGCAACCTTTACTAAGATTAACCTTAACCCCGATTCTTTAACATTGCACTAAGGTTACCTTAGTGACTTACGATCACCTTAGTGCTTTGTGAAAGGAGGCCCTGGTGTCGATATTTTCCGCCGTGATATTGCTAGAATATTGCTAAAAGCGGCGTAAAACCATACTCACTCATTCACTTCCAGTTATTTTTCATAACAACTTCACAGAGATAAATTTGTTAAATGTCTTGAATCAAATTTGATTTGGTCTTCCAGTTGATATCATGATACATGATATCAACAATCGCAATTATTTCGAAGCATCATTAAAATGTTGGTTCAGACGCAGGCTGTAGTAAGGATGTTCTAACACCGCTATCAAGCAGGTAATAGTAGTAGGTTAGACAACAGGTTAAAGCAAATATTTACAATTAGCTCCTAATGGGATATCTACATCTAATCACAGCCGTCGTGTCTTTGCGAGGATTAAATTTATTTTAAAATATATAAAAATATGAGATGACCCCCGACTCGAAGTGCTTCACAATACAATATATAATGACTATATAATGTACTATGAAGTGTTTGGAGTCGGGGGTCATCTCAAAAACAATATTTTTGAAATCTTTATTCCTCGCAAAGACACGAGAGCCTGTACATCTAATGTCACGTTGCGATATATATACTGAGTCAAAAAAGAAACTTCACATTCTTTCTTCAGGGCACTATAAAAGAACAAGAGATGGTAAGATGGTTAAATTGTTATTATTTCATTGCTGAGATCTGTGTGATGTACTCGGTACACTGACAGTGCCATAATCAGTTCCATTAGGCTACACCGCCGTTCCAAAACATGGGTATACAGAATGTCAAGTCACAAGAATAAAAATGCGAAATTTCTCAGTTCAACATCGTGTATGGCCGCCCCGCGCATTCACCACTGCCAAGCACCGTCTCCTCATCGACTGCCTGATGCTTGTGAACACGTGGTTGGGGATTCTGCGCCATTGCTCTTGCAAGGCAGCGCCAAGTTCCTGCAAATTCTGAGGTTGGTTCCTAAGACCACGAAGCCCTCTCCCAAGTGCATCCCAAACGTGCTCTATAGGATTAAGGTCAGGGGACCTCGATGGCCAGTCCATGACGTTGATTCCAGTGTTTTGAAGGAAATTTCGTGTCAACATCGCGGTATGCGGCCGAGCATTATCATGCTGGAACTTTAGACCTGGGCCATGAACCGCCATGAAAGGAACGAGTTCAGGGGTGAGCACCTGGTCGCGGTAAGCAGCAGCTGTGAGGATTCCACGGATGACCAGAAGTCGGGAACGGTTGTTCCCACAGAAAGCACCCCACACCATGCAACTTCCGCCCCCGAATCTGTCGACTTCCTGTACACAACATTGGGCATACCGTTCACGACGTCGTCTCCAGACTCTATGCCTGCCGTCCGCGAATCTGAGGGTAACCCTGGATTCATCGCTAAAGACGACTCGATTCCAGTCTCTCTGGGTCCATCGGAGGTGACGATGGGCCCATAGCAGACGTTGACGTTGATGAAACGGCGTCAATATTGGCCCACGATATGGACGTCGGGAATGGAGATTGGCAGCCCGCAACCGATTTCGAATGGTCTGTGAGGACAGTCGACCTCTAAACATCTCAGCCCTGGTTCCTGTAGCCGGCAGAAATCTGTCACGTAGGTGACGTAGGACGATTTGACGGTCTTCTGCTCGTGACGTCACACGTGGACGACCCGACCTTGGGCGATCAGAAGTGGCGCCAGTTTGTTGTAGACGACCTCGCAAGTCATACACAGTACAACGGCTGCATCCCATTGCTCTTGCGACGTCAATAACTGATCTTCCCGCTTGCACCATGCCAACGGCACGTTCACGTTGCACATTTGACAATCGTGGCATTTCAAGTACCGTTAGAACTGTGGTTTAAAAGTGTTTTTTCAATTCTTGAGGCAAATGCAAACACGTGCATATGAAGAAACCTCGTTGCGAAGATCTCGTGATCGACTGCACGTGCAAAACCTGATTTGGCACTAACATCATTTGCACGACGAATTGCTGGGTTTGAGTGGGTTTTGCTAACGTTTTTCTAGAGTCGAAAGATAGGGATCCCATTTCGGATACATAGATGTATCATCAGAAAAAAATTATTCATTATTTTTCAAATTACATTTTGTGAAGTTTCTTTTTTGACTCAGTATACATTCTATAGATATTCCAATAAGTCCTCAAATACATATCTGCAGGAAATGAATGACCGCAATCAGAATTTACTGGAAATGTTGTACTTCATGGCATCATGTTTGTTTGTTGTTTAACGACGCACTCAGCAATATTCCAGCTATATGGCAGCAGTCTGTAAATGATCGAGTCTGCACCAGTCTGAACTGGGATACCATAACGTGTGTCAATCAAGTCAGCAGGCCTGACCACCCGATCCTGTTAGTCACCTCTTATGACAAGCATAGGTTACTGAAAACCAATTCTACCCCGGATCTTCACGGGTCTCATGCACAGCAAAAATAACTGAGTTTCCGTTCTTGCGGAAACCTAATGGATACTGGGTAATGTAGGTTTCCGCTAGGTTTCAGTATCCGGAAACAGACAATGCGATATATATAGTATATTTATCTTTGTCATCACAGACAGATGATGTCATATAAAAATCACGTGATTTCTGGGAAACCCACTCACATTATATGATAATCATGGGTACAATGTGTGAAGCCAATTTCTGGTGTCCCCCGCCGTGATTTTGCTTGAATACTGCTAAAGGTTAACTTAAGCAATTATAGATATTTAGCTCCTAATGAAATATCTACATCTATGTTCAGTTTTTTTACACGGTTCCTGTATTTACAAAGACTCTTTTTACTACATAATATTTCCAGTACTTACCAGACCATATTTTCGTAGTCCAGCAAGTACATTCGTGTCGTTGAATGTTACAAGTCGGGAAAGCCACTTTGAGGACTCGGCTGTTGTCGGGTGTTTCCGCCTGGATTGGTATCTCGTGTGTGGGTATGGCCCAGCGACTGCCGCCAGCAAACGGTGGGTCTGGTGACAAAGCAACATTAATATGTACCGCATATATAAGCCTACAGTGTGTGAATGAGTATGGTTTTACGCCACTTTTAATAATATTCCAGCGGGGAACATCAGCAATGGGCTTCACACATTATACACACGTAGGAAATCGAAGCCGGGTCCTCAGCGTGACCATTAGGGTACGCTACCGTCCCCCATTTTATCTTATACATGGTCATATGACCAACAGTCTGTTAAGTTTACATTATATAAGGCGGCGGGAATGTTGCAGTCCTTTCACATTCAACAACCTTTCCAAGCTACGCAACCACCAGCTCACCCATTCTTCAAACAGAACATTTAAGAGGCAGCCCGTGCACCCTTTTAACACACTGTTGTTCCATTAACTCAACATTGCTGTACATTCCGTTCACCCATTGATGAAACACAACATTTACTCAGCAACCCGTTCATCCATCCATCAAACGGGACATTTACTCAGCAACCCGATCATCCATCCATCAAACGGGACATTTACTCAGCAACCCATCCATCAAACACAGCATTTACTCAGCAACCTGTTCACCCATTCATGAAACAGAACATTTACTCAACAACCCGTTCATCCATCCATCAAACGGAACATTTACTCGGCAACCCGATCATCCATTCAGCAAACAGAACATTTACTCAGCAACCCGGTCACCAATCCTTCAAACAGAACATTTACTCAGCAAGCAGCTCACCCATCCATCAAATAGGACATTTACTCAGCAACCCGATCATCCATTGATGAAACAGAACATTTACTCATCAACACGTTCATCCATCCCTCAAACACAGCATTTACTCAGCAACCCGATCATCCATTATGAAACAGAACATTTACTCAGTAACACGCTCATCCATTCATCAAACAGAACATTTACTCAGCAACCCGATCATCCATTCATCAAACAGAACTTTTACTCAGCAACCCGTTCACCCATTCATCAAATAGAACATTTACTCAGCAACCCGATCATCCATCCATCAAACAGAACATTTACTCAGCAACCCGATCATCCATCCATCAAACAGAACATTTACTCAGCAACACGTTCATCCATTCATAAAACAGAACATTTACTCAGCAACCCGATCACCCATTCATCAAACAGAACATTTACTCAGCAACACGCCCATCCATCCATCAAACAGAACATTTACTCAGCAACACGTTCATCCATTCATAAAACAGAACATTTACTCAGCAACCCGCATCATCCATTCATCAAATAGAACATCAAACAGAACATTTACTCAGCAACCCGATCATCCATTCATCAAACAGAACATTTACTCAGCAACACGTTCATCCATTCATCAAACGCAGCATTTACTCAGCAACCCGATCATCCATTATGAAACAGAACATTTACTCAGCAACCCAATCATCCATTCATCAAACAGAACATTTACTCAGCAACCCAATCATCCATTCATCAAACAGAACATTTACTCAGCAACCCGTTCACCCATTCATCAAACAGAACATTTACTCAGCAACCCGATCATCCATTCATCAAACAGAACATTTACTCAGCAACCCGCTCATCCATTCATCAAACAGAACATTTACTCAGCAACCCGATCATCCATTCATCAAACAGAACATTTACTCAGCAACCCGATCATCCATCCTTCAAACAGAACATTTACTCAGCAACCCGATCATCCATCCTTCAAACAGAACATTTACTCAGCAACCCGATCATCCATTCATCAAACGGAACATTTACTCAGCAACACGTTCATCCATTCATCAAACAGAACATTTACTCAGCAACCCGATCATCCATCCATCAAACAGAACATTTACTCAGCAACCCGATCATCCATCCATCAAACAGAACATTTACTCAGCAACCCGTTCATCCATTCATCAAACAGAACATTTACTCAGCAACCCGATCATCCATCCATCAAACAGAACATTTACTCAGCAACCCGATCATCCATTCATCAAACAGAACATTTACTCAGCAACACGTTCATCCATCCATCAAACAGAACATTTACTCAGCAACCCGATCACCCATCCATCAAACAGAACATTTACTCAGTAACACGCTCATCCATCCATCAAACAGAACATTTACTCAGCAACACGTTCATCCATCCATAAAACAGAACATTTACTCAGCAACCCGTTCACCCATCCATCAAACAGAACATTTACTCTGCAACCCGTTCATCCATTCATAAAACAGAACATTTACTCAGCAACCCGATCATCCATCCATCAAACAGAACATTTACTCAGCAACCCTCTCACCAATTCTTCAAACAGAACATTTACTCAGCAAAGCGATCATCCATCCATCTAACAGAACATTTACCCAGCAACCCGCTAACCCATCCATCAAACACAGCATTTACTAAGTAACACGCTCATCCATTCATGAAACGGAACATTTACTCAGCAACCCGATCATACATTCATGAAACAGAACATTTACTCAGCAACCCGCTCAGCCATTCATCAAATAGAACATTTACTCAGCAACCCGATCAGCCATTCATCAAATAGAACATTTACTCAGTAACACGTTCATCCATCCATCAAACAGGACATTTACTCAGCAACCCGATCATCCATCCATCAAACAGAACATTTACTCAGCAACACGTTCATCCATCCATTAGACGGAACATTTACTCAGCAACCCGATCATCCATTCATCAAACAGAACATTTACTCAGCAACCCGATCACCCATTCATATAACAGAACATTTACTCAGCAACCCGATCATCCATTCATCAAACGGAACATTTAATCAGGAACCCGATCATCCATTCATCAAACAGAACATTTACTCAGCAACCCGATCATCCATTCATCAAACAGAACATTTACTCAGCAACCCGTTCATCCATCCATCAAACGGAACCACTAATCAGCAACCCGATCATCCATCCATCAAACAGAACATTTATTCAACAACCCTCTCACCAATTCTTCAAACAGAACATTTACTCAGCAACGCGATCACCCATCCATCAAACAGAATATTTACTCAGCATCCCGCTTACCCATTCATCAAATAGACCATTTAGTCAGTAACACGCTCACCCATCCATCAAACACAGTATTTACTCAGCAACCCGTTCACCCATTCATGAAACAGAACATTTACTCAGCAACCCGATCATCCATTCATGAACAGAACATTTAGTCAGCAGCCCGATCATCCATTCATCAAACAGAACATTTACTCAGCAACCCAATCATCCATTCAGCAAACGGAACATTTACTCTGCAACCCGATCATCCATCCTTCAAACAGAACATTTACTCAGCAAACCGCTCATCCATCCATCAAACGGAATATTTACTCAGCAACCCGATCATCCATCCATCAAACAGAACATTTACTCAGCAACCCGATCATCCATCCTTCAAATATAACATTTAGTCAGCAGGCCGTTCACCCATCCATCAAACAGAATATTTACTCAGCAACCCGCTTACCCATTCATCAAATAGATCATTTAGTCAGCGACACGCTCACCCATCCATCAAACACAGTATTTACTCAGCAACCCGTTCACCCATTCATGAAACAGAACATTTACTCAGCAGCCCGCTCATCCATTCATCAAACAGAACATTTACTCAGCAACACGTTCATCCATTCATCAAATGGAACATTTAATCAGCAGCCCGATCATCCATCCATCAAACAAAACATTTACTCAGCAACCCGAACAGCCATTCATCAAACAGAACATTTACTCAGCAACCCGCTCAGCCATTCATCAAATAGAACATTTACTCAGCAACCCGCTCAGCCATTCATCAAACAGAACATTTACTCAGTAACACGTTCATCCATCCATCAAACAGGACATTTACTCAGCAACCAGTTCATCCATCCATCAAACAGAACTTTTACTCAGCAACACGTTCATCCATCCATTAAACGGAACATTTACTCAGCAACCCGATCATCCATCATCAAACAGAACATTTACTCAGCAACCCGATCATCCATTCATCAAACAGAACATTTACTCAGATCATCCAACCCGAATATTTACTCAGCAACCCGATCACCCATTCATCAAACAGAACATTTAGTCAGTAACACGATCATCCATCCATCAAACAGAACATTTACTCAGCAACCCGTTCACCCATTCATCAAACAGAACATTTACTCAGCATTTACTCAGCAACCCGATCATCCATTCATCAAACAGAACATTTACTCAGCAACCCGATCATCCATTCATGAAACAGAACATTTACTCAGCAACCCGATCATCCATTCAACAAACAGAACATTTACTCAGCAACCCGATCATCCATCCTTCAAACAGAACATTTACTCAGCAACCCGTTCACTCATCCATCAAACGGAATATTTACTCAGCAACCCGATCATCCATCCATCAAACAGAACATTTACTCAGCAACCCGATCATCCATTCATCAAACAGAACATTTACTCAGCAACCCGCTCACCCATTCATCAAACATAACATTTAGTCAGCAGCCCGCTCATCCATTCATCAAACAGAACATTTACTCAGCAACCCGATCACCCATCCATCAAATAGAACATTTACTCAGCAACACGTTCATCCATTCATCAAACAGAACATTTACTCAGCAACCCGCTCATCCATTCATCAAACAGAACATTTACTCAGCAACCCGCTCACCCATTCATCAAACAGAACATTTAGTCTGCAGCCCGCTCACCCAATCGGCACCACATTTAACACACTGTTGTTAACTCCACATTGCTGAACCACCCGCTTACACGTACATCAGAACACTTAAACAACAACCCGGTGACCAACTCGTCTGATAAAACATCTCCACAACCATCCATCCAACACCCACCACCCGGCTAGTTACTCTGTATCCACCACTCGATGCTTACCGCAGGCGTTTCCAGAAAGATCACGGCCGTCCCTGTCAGCACCACCACCATCACGACCACGACTTTACAGCCACCTTGCCTCATGGTGTCACGTGTTGTGTGCCAGACAACGTGGAGGCGGCTTTACTGTAAGTACAGAGTCATGACAGTGTCATTCACAGACATCTATAGTCAACCCAGACTGACAGTTTACTCTAGTAACACATGATCTATTTGATTGACATTTTAGAAGTTAAACAGAAAGGTATGATACTTTATGGATAACAACTTCTTTTTTATATTATAATGCGACGTTTCGGTATAGAGTCACACTTATGCGTATAACTGAAAGTGACGCTGAACCAGGTACACACTTGGAGGTGGTTTAAATATATATGTTAATAACTGAAGGAGACGCTCAACCAGGTGAAGCTTAAACAGGTAAATGCTTGAAAGTGGCGCTTAAATTAGCACATTTGTGAAGGTGGCGTCAGTAAATACTTCAAGGAGATACTGAAACAGGTAAAGCTTTGAAGGTGATAATCAATCAGGTAGAATAGGTTTAAAGGTAGGCAAATGCATAAAAGGTGAACAGGTTAACACGTAAAGATGGCCAAGTCTTATTTTGCAGGGATAGCCTGCTCAGAACTCAGAACTATTTAAGACTAGAGAGCTGCACGAACTATGATGAATTAACTTTAACGAGCTTCAACCAACCGTGAAATGACTAGACATAAAAGGATATGTGCATTAGTTTGTGTGAAGCTTTTTTCAAATTTACCATGCTAGTTTCCAGCTGGCGACGTTCATTCCAGACTACGCTTAAATGGTATTTTTTTACCAAGTTCTAAACTGAAACTCTGGCACATAAACACATACACATTCCTGATTTTAGGGCAGTAATTTCCACGTGTCTTCGACGTGACGAACCAACGGTTTAACCACTAGGCTACCCCACCGCCCCAGCAATAGTGGAATACACCGTGGAATGCACCAATGGTGCTTGTTAGAAAACAACCCTGTCACAACCACTGTCACTTTCTCTGTCTGGTGAACGACGCTCAGAAAGGATTGGGCCGGTGGGGTAGCCTAATGGTTAAAGCATTCGCTCGTCACGCCGAAGACCTGGGTTCGATTCCCCACATGGGTACAATGTGTGAAGCCCGTTACTGGTGTCCCCCGCCGTGACATAGCTGGACTATTGCTAAAAGTGGCGTAAAGCCATAATCATTCACTCTGATAGGATGGATGAAAAGTCATGATCCCTAATGGCACGTCCTCAGAAAATTATTAAACGGTGGGGAAAACCTAAAATATGTTGACGAGACTGTAACTACTTGATACTACAATCTTGTGTTAATTGTGCTCATTTTATCATGACAGCGTTGTGTTTAAATGGAAATACATATAGAAGTGGTTACATTCAGTTGTAGCTGAAGGGGATGTAGCGATATCATAATGAAGCGAGAAGAGTTGTGAATGTGTTTCGTGGTGAAATGTATTATGTATGCATTATTCTGTGGAAATAAAGATAGAAAAAATGATTCCTTATATGTTACTGACTACATCTTAAGTAGAATGTATCGAGAAGAGTGTATTATGTATGCATTATTCTGTGGAAATAAAGATTGTAAAAATGATTCGAGAAGAGTGTGGGTCAGGATTACAACAATGTATTATCTGACTCTGCCAGGAACGCGGCATGCGTAAATACAAACGAGAATCTATTTCAGAAATCAAAATGCATCATTCATGTCAGAAGAATCACTATGTACCATCCGCCACACAATAATCACCATGTATCATCAATCAAAGTGTATCTTCTTCAACAAAACAGATATTATGAATCATTCACCAAACATGAAGAAAACAATCCACACAACAGTCGTTAGGGGCGATTACCTAACGTTACTTGCTGATACAACGACTCAGTTTAATATTTTATAAAACCCCCACCCCTACCCCCACACCCCCGCCAAAAAATATGAAAATATATAATTAAATGAATAAAAAAACTACACTTGATCTCTGCTATTTGTCAGTTAAATAGGTTAAAATTCAAGATAAAGGCCAGGATTCATTTATGTTGTTGCAAAACTTCCTAAATTTCAAACCAAAACCATCTTACCTTTCAGTTAAGCATCTGGTCTTTGGGTCGCTATTTACACAATGTAAACACGTATGTGGTATCTCTTTATAAGTGCGGTTTAGAGCCCACTGAACCGCCGTGACATTCAACCTTCAATACAATTTCCGCATATACTACAGTATGCACATAATGGAGATGGGACATTCCAGTAGTACTGTGTCAGCTTGGAGCTATGTTTCATTTCACGCATGGCAAAAAAGTAACGCTTGTTCGTTACACTCGCGTATAATGCTACACTTTTCAAACCAGCCAGAGTCAGAAATAGTTACTGCTTTCGACTGTTATATAAAAATTCTCAACTTACCACATGGCAACTGTATATGACATAATCTGTTTAAAGGCGACGTACAACGCCTGCAGCAGTTGGAGGCCCAGTGCGGGCTACGACACAGTGAGCGTGCACACGGGTCTAGGAAGAGAGAGTATTTCCTTTGGCGCTTGTAATGAAGGCTTGTTCGCAGAGCTCCATGCAATTTGAGCTATTTTGGTTTCTTGAAGTTTTTCGAAGCTGGAAAAGTATTCAACGATGTTATGCTAAGGATATTTCCTTGGTACTCAAAAACTTACCATTTACCTCTTCAGCTCGTGCCCGCGCACAATATATCTTCATTACTGTAAACAAGAGTGAAACGCACAAGTATGCGGAAACGCTATGTAAACAGCCATCAGGACTAACAGTATGTCCGGGTCCTCGTACATCAAGATGCATCAGCAGATAATTGGTTGTATTGTACTTCTCGCCTGGCAGGTTCTCTACGTGGCATTACTGGCGTGTTTTTGAAGTATACTGAGTACACGCGAAACAACAACAATTGTGATATATAGGTATTTTGGGACAGGTCTTAAACTTTTAATTTAAGTATGGCTTGTTTCATTGCTGTTGTTAATGCTTCATTTGTATCTTCAGGTTATAAATCTATGGCTTCCAGGGCATTAGCAGAGTGCTCGGAAGTTAGGACGTTTTAGTTGTGGGTTGTTCGTACCTCTATGCTGCGAAGGAATTAATGATCGGGTTTAACACTGTAAGGGCGACGTGAGTTTCGGATATTTATTACTTCGTACAAACCCAAGAACACGCGTGTGGTACAAACAATTAAAAGCAATTGATATGATACAATAGCTCCTCAGTTATCAGGACAGTTGCGTTTTCTCAAATACCGTCGAGATAAACTAGGTCCCGGATATTTGAATTCCTTGTCAGCTGGCCAGAGTTACTTATCACAATTCTTCGAAGACAAAAAAGAAATGTACATGTAGTGGTCCCCACACACACACACACACACACACACACACACACACACACACACACACACACACACACACACACACACACACACACACACACATACACACACACACACACACACACACACACATCACACACACACCATGAAATACAAACACACACAAAATAAATCATAAAAATCACACAACCTATCCAGTCGTCGAATTTACATTACATTTATTACTTGGAAAATAATCCTGACTACAACTTAAGTGGATGCAAGCCAATTGTAACATTTCACATGTACTTGTACCAATGTATATATTGAAACTTACTATGCATTCCTGTTATACTATGAAATATGGTAAATAAAATAAATCATCCAGTTAGAAGTTCGAAAAGATTTCTAGAAATGATGATTTAAACTGTATTTCCTGTTTCGCGTAAAACAATGTCCAGTTAGCGAGTTTTCCGGATATTTAGGACCCGGTGAACTTTGGTTCGCAGTAAATAAGCAGCATGCCTATTATTTTGGACAATGAATGTTTTAATTCCAACAGTATGAGGCCATAGACAACAGGCGCTCTCAACCATGACATTTTCCATCTCAAGTATTCTCACGCCGAAGTGAGTGAGTGAGTTCAGTTATACGCCGCACTCAGCAGTATTCCAGCAATATGGCGGCGGTTCACGCCGAAGACATGGGTACAATGTGTGAAGCCCATTTCTGGTGTCTCCCGCCGTGATATTGCTTAAAGTGGCGTAAAACCATACTCACTCTTCTATATGCTTGATGATGAGAAGACAAGGTCGATATGTAGCAAATGTACTTTGCATCTGTTGTTTGTGTTTTAGTGTAATCATGCGATTCCAACCTTACTCGCATACCAATTGAATAAATACCACAAACTCCCTGGACAATTGTTTACTGTCAGCTATTCCCTCAACTCTCATACATAATAAACCATTCTCCCATTCACTCTTAAATATTATCTCAACATTTCCCATATATTCTCACAAACATTGTAGTTTACTCGCTCAACCATTTTCACAAGCTCCCTTAAGCTCTCTGAACCACTCTCACATACTCTCTGATCCAGCCTCACATACTCTCTGAACCACTCTCAAATACTCTCTGAACCACTCTCACATACTCTCTGAACCACTCTCGTATACTCTCTGATCCAGCCTCGCATACTCTCTGATCCAGCCTCGCATACTCTCTGAACCACTCTCGCATACTCTCTGAACCACTCTCACATACTCTCTGAACCACTCTCACACACTCTCTGAACCACTTTCACACACTCTCTGAACCATTCTCACACACTCTCTGAACCACTCTCACATATTCTCTGATCCAGCCTCACATACTCTCAGAACCACTCTCGCATACTCTCTGAACCACTCTCACACTCTCTGATCCAGCGTCACATACTCTCTGAACCACTCTCACATACTCTCTGATCCAGCCTCACATACTCTCTGAACGACTCTCGCATACTCTCTGAATCACTCTCGCATACTCTCTGAACCACTCTCGCATACTCTCTGAACCACTCTCGTATACTCTCTGATCCAGCCTCGCATACTCTCTGATCCAGCCTCGCATACTCTCTGAACCACTCTCGCATACTCTCTGAACCACTCTCACATACTCTCTGAACCACTCTCACATACTCTCTGAACCACTCTCACATACTCTCTGAACCACTCTCACATACTCTCTGAACCATCCACACATACTCTCTGATCCACTCATATACAGTATGCTCCACGGCTACACGAGAAGCTGGAGATATGTTCCACACTCGACAAAACATATACATGCACACACTGCCTATGTCGTAAACATCACTTTACGATGAACAGCGGGGAGAATGGGATGTTTGTGTGTATCACGTTCCGCTAGTTTGTTTGTGTGCTTCGTGTATGGTAATTACTTCCTGGGAAGATTTGGGCGTCGACCGTGGACGTCCAACGTTGTTTCTTTTGCTGCCTGTCACGTGATCCCGATTAGTCCACATTCTCTCTCTAATGACTTCTGCAGCTCGGCTCTGGGTAGTATGACTAAAATGGTACTATGACGTCACCTCTGTTGGTATTTCATGGAAGTGTCAGTTAAATCTAAACATGCTCTGTTAACGTGATGGAATGAGACGTGTGAATCTGCTTTCAGAGTTTACCTCTCCATCATAGACATGTAATTACAGCAGGCACTTTACAACTCAAAGAAGTTGTCATTCAAAGCAGCTATAAAATACAGATTATTTCATGGCCTCCAGACCGCCTCCGTGGTGTAGTGGTTAGAGCGTCTGCCTGGAGAGCGGAAGGTCGCGGGTTCGATCCCCGACCGCGTCATACCAAAAAGACGTTAAAAGATGGTACTTGTTGGTCCCTGCCTGGCGCTCGGCATTAATGGGTACAACAAGGACTGGTCGGCCCGGAGTCAGTATAATGTGTCTGAGTGGGGTATTCATGCTCCACTGTGGCATGGTATCTCAGTGGGCTAGCACTATAAAACCAGCTTAAGTCTGGGCTAGTACAAGCAGCCGCACATACACATACACACGCATGCACGTCGTCATATGAGCGAAATATTCTCAAGCACGACGTAAAACCCAATTTCACCTCACCTCACCTCACCTCATGGCCTCCAAACGTCCCTATAATTCATATTTACATATTACCATATTACCAATACGGTAATACTTGGGTGTAATAATCTTTTTGTCATATTTATGATGTCATTCTGATGAAAATGTGTTTGAGAAATGATTCCACTTGCTAACCTAACCGTGAAAACCGCGTGTCAGTAGACAGTAGATCAGTGTCAGTAGATCGACTCCATCTACGATCTAGCACCGCATGACTCTGCATGTATGTTCACACACACAACCTCTATGTGAAAGTTTGAGCATATGGGCGATGTTTCCTACTTTTTAGAGGTGATTGCTTTATCGAAATAGGGTAATTGTAGTTAGTGAGTGAATTTAGTTTCACGCCGCTTATAGCAATATTTCAGCAATATCACGTCGGGGACACCAGAAATGGGCTTCACACATTCTACTAATGAGGGGAATCGAACCCGGGCCTTCATCGTGATGAGCGAACCCTGTAACCGCTAAGCTATTCCACCGCCAAGGAAAAATTGTAAGAGTGTGAGCGAGCTGATTCCCTGGAATAGTATTCCGGCTATAACCCGTGAAGATCCAGGTTAGAAGTGGTCTTCAGTCACCCATACTTGTCGTAAGAAGCGAATAACGGGATCGAGTGGTCAGGATCGCTGACTTGGCTGACACATGTCATCGGTTCCCAGTTGCGTAAATATATGCTCATGCTTTTGATCACTGTATTGTCTGGTCCAGACTCGATTATTTACAGACCGGCGCCATATAGCTGGAATATTGCTGAGTGCGGCGTTAAACACCGAACCAACCAACCAACTATTCCGGTTACATCAAGGTGAGTCAACTTTCGGTGAGAGGGAAACGATGCGATGCCCTCACGAGCAACGGTTCCATCCAAGCCGAAGAAGGAACGCAACTCTGTAGAGGTAATTGCGATGTATCGCTTTCACCCGACATATTTTAATACAAAACACCCCATCTTACTGTTTCTTTTCTTGACGTTACTATAATTTATTTTTCAGGTTGTCCTTGAAATGAAAAAATGTGACTTCACCAATTTTACTGAAACAGAACATTTTTATTTGCCTTTGTAATATTCGCTTAGAGAAAAGCTGCATACAAGGCTATGTGGCACATACAAATTATATACATCAAGAAAAATCTAAATATTGAATGATAACTCGGTATTGACTCAAGATTACACTTTCCTGCTACATTTGCATTGTATTACATTCATCGGAGTTGCAGAAGCACCAGCTATCTCCCCTTGAGTCGGTCATGCAGCCGGACGTCGGTAGGGGGCGCGGCATCCAGAATCCACTGGAGCATCCACGGTAAATGACTGTAATCCAAAATAATATAGTGCTTAAAAGTTAATCAGACGAGTCTTCGGCGTGACGAGCGAACGAATTTTCTAGTTTATTGGATATATGTGTGATGTTGTACAGCCTGGTCCGTTTCAGAAAGCGAGCGTAAATTTTAGACGATCCTATCTTCTACACTTATACATAGATAGACGACAGAAAACACCATGAAACGGAAACGCCATTTTGTTGTGGCTGCACATAGTTGAGTGAGTGAGTATGGTTTTAGGCCGCTTTTAGCAATATTCCAGCAATATCGCGGCGGGGACGAACCAGATATGGGCTTCACTCATTGTATCCATGAGGGGAATCGAACCCGGGTCTTCGGCGTGATGGGCGAACGCTTTAACCACTGGGCAACCCCACCGTCCAAAATAGTTAACGGAGGGTTTGTAAAGTCCGCAGAATACATATATTGAGTAAAAAGGATAGAAAATAGGAGTGAGTGAGTTTAGTTTTACGCCGCACTCAGCAATATTCCAGCCATATGGCGGCGGTCTGTAAATAATAGAGTCTGGAACAGACAATCCAGTGGTCAACAGCATGAGCATCGATCTGCGCAATTGGGGACTGATGACATGTGTCAACCGAGTCAGCGAGCCTGACCACCCGATTCCCGTTATTCGCCTCTTAAGACAAGCATGGGTTACTGAAGATCAATATTCTTCACGGGTACACTGGTTCCCAGGCTGAGCGCTGCGTTAAACAGCAAACAAAAAACTGGTTCCCCAAGATCAGTGACCCAGCCGTGCCTGCTATCCAACAGGTCAAACTTCCCCCTGCTGTACACAGTGTATTGGTTATAAGTGACGTGTACTCACCTCCGGGGTGCCAGATATGTGTTCGGACAAAGCACAATTCAGGACACTCGATGCTTGTCACTCTTTCGTAGAAGAGGTCGCCGTTCGCGGGACAATTGCCGTTAGATCCGGCCCCGCTGTTGCAGTCGAAACATCGGATATTCTGGGCTGGGACAACTGAAAAATAAAAATAATGATGTGATGTTAACCTTAATAATTACCGATTGGAACTACATACATATACTAGCCACATAAAGAAACTGTGCATTGTCAAAATATTATCCCAGTTGATAAGTACGATAACAATGTCAAAGGTACATATAAACTTTAATGGAGGGATCATGAGAACATAAGTCGGGAGAATTTCAATTGAAAAGTCAATCACAATGACGTCACGAGTCCACAAGCGGGACAGGGGTCAAACGACCATGTCACAAGCTCAATAACGGGTATGTTCACCATCGGCATTGAGAACAGCAGTGCATCGACGACGCATAGAGCCTATCAAACGTGCAAGGAAGGCTTGTGGGATGTCACGCCAGATTCTCTCAAGTGCTGTTGCAAGGTCAAGGACGTTATCTGGCGGATCCATCTCGTCCCAAACATGCTCTATCGGGGAGAGATCCGGTGAATTTGCAGGCCAAGGCAGTAAGTCAACGCTGTGGTGTTGCAAGAAATCCATAGCAACCCTTGCCGTATGAGGGCGGGCATTGTCCTGTTGGAATGTTAACCCAGGGCCATGACGTTGCAGAAAAGGAATTGCCACAGGTCGAAGAATCTGATCCCTGTAGCCCACACCAGTTAAGTTGCCCTGAACAATCACCAAAAGAGTTCTTTGGCGTGCTGTTATTCCACCCCAAATCATCACGGAGCCACCACCAAAGCGATTCCTCTCCAAGACACAGGCCTGTGCATAACGTTCTCCCACGCGTCTATAGGCACGTTGACGTCCATCACTATGGGAAATGTAAAACCTGGACTCATCTGTAAAAACAACATTTCTCCATCAAAACAAGGGTCTGCGGACATGATTTCGGCACAACATTCGGCGAGCTTGTCGATGACGTTGTGTCAGGATAGGCCGTATGGCGGGACGTCGTGGTCTGATCCCGTGATGACGTAAACGTTGTCGAACTGTGTTGGGGTGGATACGGCGAAGTCCTGGGATGGTTCGGGCAGTCATCACTGTAGTCTGAAACCTGTGGCGAAGATGTGTCACCCTTATCCATCTGTCCTGTCTTGGCGTTGTTACACGTGGACGTCCAGAACGTGGCCGATCGATGACGTCATTTGTGTTCTGGTAGCGTCTCACCAGTGCAGAAATGGTGTTCCGGTGGCAGTGGAAATGTGCAGCCACTTGTCATTGAGACATTCCCCCCACGGACCATCCCAATGGCATCATGACGTTGTGCAGACGTGAGCCTTAGCATGCTATGCGTTTCAATAGCCGTATAATTTTTTGAACGATCGCAAGGGCAGGGGTTGAGCTTTCCAAAGTGACAGTATTGTGTGGCATTCATTTGCTCTGTTTCTCTTTCCCGGAATGCACGTGCAACAACGTATTGCACGTCTCAAGGACGAACCCACTGACGTCACGGAACGTGGCACGAGCATGCATGTTGGATACATGTCACTAATCTCTGAGTTTAAATCCTTATGTGTCCACACAGGTTTGATAAATTTAGATTTTAAATTTTTGTATGCACAGTTTCTTTATGTGCCTAGTATATTTACATGCATGCAACTTCAAGATTTGACAATATTATTGTTCTTTGGGCTGGAGGCCTAATGTACCGAAGAGATATTGTCTTGTACGTTTTTACTACTAATCACCACTTATAATTAAGCACCATTCTTTAATTGTATACCTCAGTGTGGGTGACCTCCTGGTATCAACATATACTGTTATAAACGTAGGGGAACCTGAACTTTCATTTGGATAGGACGTGTAAACATTAACAAACTTTTCAAAGACAGATATCTTAGGAACGCAAAGCCATTTTTCTTTATCACCACCCCTAAACACAACACATGGGATGCACGTGCACAACACAGTAGCCCCATACACGTGCATTCTTGATGTCCTTCTTGATTTTGACGGTTTTAAAGGAGGTCGATAAATCACTGTAGACCATTAATTTTGACAATCATCTTGCATCACACAGTTGTTAGTGTTTGTTTCTAGCCGGGTTTTTTAAATGAAAATCGTACACATGCAAATTTCACGGCACACACCAATCAGGAGGGAGGGTTTTGGCCTGACGGTGGTTGAGCGGGATTATTATTATTATATTGGTATTTATATAGCGCTATAGTCCATCCCAGGAAAGTGTGTTTCAAATGTCAATGTAGGCTGCAGGAGTGAAGAATGCGTGTACACAAACACCAGAACAAAACATGATCGTCTTAAGTCAAAATGCTGGAATTCAAATGTTAAGGTGCTGAACTTTGGCGATTATTTGGCAACTCAGTAGCCTTTTACCTGTGTAACTTTCACAAACAACAGTCAAAAAGACAACGAATTTTTTCACACATGGAGTTTACACATACGTGCGAGGCCGCCTTGATGTTCAGAAGGGCGGAAGGTTATACACGGCATAGTGTTAAAGCAAGGATGGCTTCTATTGGAATGGGGGCTGTGGGGTACCTTAGTGGTTAAAGCGTTCGCTCGTCACGCCGAAGACGGTTCGATTCCCCACATGGGTACAATGTGTGAAGCCCATTTCTGGTGTTCCCCGCCGTGATATTGCTGGGATATTGCTAAAAGCGGCGTAAAACCATACTCAGTCAGTCAGTCCATTAGAATGACTGTCTGAATGTTGTGTTGTGCCGCCATCAGGTATAGTGAAGTTAAAACAGGCTCAGACAAACAAACACGTCAGGATAGCACAAGGTACAACAAGGTGTTGAAGAAAACATTCAATAACCAATATCACATAAGTGTGAAAACCCTTTCTCTATTGTACCAGCCAAAAAAAGTAGGGGATATTGGATTTACAAGATTGATAAAATGCAAATGATGAAGCCAAGGAGGAAACAGATGATGAAGAGAAATTAAGGGAAAATGTGACAATTTATTCCATTCCTTTGGAATTGTTTCATCTGTATGGATATATTACTTTTTCTCATATGCATTGGCAGTGGCTAGTGGTATGCTCGCAAAATGGAAGATCCCTACTTTTTAATGGTATATTTTGGTTTAGATTTGTAGAGACAAGCACCCCCTCGTTACCGGGACATAGTTCTGTTGGTACTGGAGTGCGACGTGTATTCATAGCGCTGATACTGAGGGGATTGCACAGTGGTTTAAACATCGTTTTGTTGAGTTTCGTTTTAGTAATAAATCATTAATAATTATTGGGACAAGTCTTTTTAACTAAATACATTCTCAGTTACACATTGTTAACATTGGACAACAGGCAAATTGTAGCGCGATATTTTATTTTGATATTAAAAATATTTTTCAAATCCAAGTTAGGGAAGCACGTTGCCAAGCTTTGCTCGCTTTGCTCGCATATGGGAAGACTGGTTATTTTCTCTTTGTTGCGCAACCCTATTTGCGCTACAATTTGCTTGTGATTGGACATGACGTTGCATTGCTCTTTTGACTAGTTCCTTCTGTTCTTTATTTGATAATTGTTTATAGAAGATTTAATTGGGTGGGGGTGTTGTGGGAGGTGGTTTTGTGCACTGGCTTCCTATAACTTTGTGAGATCACCGGTAAGTCAAAGGGAAGGTAAACACACAGTTAGCACCGACTTCACAATTTCCAGATGGAAAGGTCTCTCTCTACCTTTACTCAGTATAAAAAGTCATCCTTTAAACTCTGGCGCTGCCTTTGTGAGACACAGGTTGAAAGTTTCACAAATTATGCAATTATGTTTGAAATCTGTGACGCTGTTTCCTGTTCTTGTCCTCATTGATATTGAATTTCTCACCTTAATATTTTGACCAACATACAGAAACTAATAGAATTGCACCCTTCTGTTATATTGTTACTTTGTGAAATTACTTTTTGATTTAGATGAGATAATAAGGTGTCAAATTCGCTGTGTAATGTTCCTGGATTGTCAGTTTAATAGCTTGGCGGTGGGGACAATTTAACAAACTATTTGGAATACCGGAAGTATTTTTAGCAAACAATAACGGCTTACTGAATGGGCACCACTTATCTCAATCGAGAAACGCTTTAGTCGAACTCCTAATGTCATTACTGATTATCAGTGACCAGTTTCTCTAAACAAACTTAAGTCTGAGTTTTGACGAAGTTTTTACTCAAATTTGAGAAAATGCATTACCCAGAATAAACTGAAATCGATATTAAACTCAAACATACTGGACAATTTGAGTTTGATGGATAGATTAATAAGTTGTTTGGGCTTTTCTATTTTAAAAATGAAGTTGAGTTTAATATTCAGCTGTTTCAAATTGTCAAACTCAGTTTGAAATTTGAGTAAAAAGTTAAGTTTGTTTCGAGAAATCGGGGCCTGTTTTAATTGTTTTCACACATATTTCGCCAGATAGATGTGTTCAGGAGATAAATGAGACCAACTCATCTCTAACGCGGATGTTGTATATTTTACAAATAAATCTGCAACTCTCAGTACAGGCTAGTTACATTGAAAGTAAACAGCCCGTCAAGCTTATTGAGAGTAAGAGCATTACCACAGTACAAGAGACGGCACATCGCCCACTGATATTTACACACTGACGAGTCCCTCCTAATTGCCTAAGAATCTACTAAACAACTGAGAACGGATGCCACTTGTTTACTTTCATGTGATCCAAGGGCTGCTTTTTAGGAATAAATAAATACTGTGTTTGAGGGGAAGATATTTGAAATACTGTTTGAGTCACAAAACAGAAAAGAAAGGTTTGACATATTCGTGTTAGGGTACATAATGTATTTCCCTGGGCAGGGAAGGGTCACGCATAACGTCGACGTCGACACGTGACATTTAACGTGCACCCAGCTAGGCGTGTGAAGTCAAGAGAGGGCCCGCAAATGGGATGGGGACAACAACGGTGAATGAGTGAATATCGTTTTACGACGCTTAAGCAATATTGCAGCTATATTGCGGGTTTCCCGTGGTTGACCCGTGAAGGTCCGGGTTAGAATTGATCTTAAGTAACCCATGCTTGTCGTAAGAGGCGACTAACGGGATCGGGTGGTCAGG